TTTCTAATTAGAAATTGTTTGAGTAATGAACAAACAGGATTCAAATCTCTCTTACTTCCTCCCAAAAGACCAAGAAATGAATTGAATGTAATGAACAAATTTGAATGCTATGAGAACACAATTTTCTGGGACTCAAATTAACTGAAATGAACTTTGTGCAGAAAAACAGAGATTCCGTGACATACTTATATTAGAACACAATGTTCAATACATTCCAGACTTATAATACAACAAATATCATAGGCTTTCAATAGAAAATCCTAAAGCTTAGAGCCATTACGTTTATTTTTTGGCAATTCCTGGAGAGACTTATTTGATCAAGTAAAAGAAATACTCTGACTCAACTTATAGTTCAAAAGAGCTGCACATAAAAAACAAATAGGGGAAAAAGAAAGTCAGCCAAATTCAGGGACATAGACATAAAAAAAATTTCAAGTTTCATGTGTTTGTTTTCTAGAGTTAAAAAAACAAAATAAAATGCAGGAATGGCATTGAGAGTGAAAACAAAACCAACTCTTAGAAAACACTCCGAGTCCACAAATCGCCATCATCATCATGTCATTGTTGTTATATATATGCAGATAAATACACAGACACAATTACACAAATTGCTCTTTGCTGCGCATCTCATCTCCAAACCAACCCCATGCACAAGCAACAATGAAAGATTTAAAACAAAGTCCATTTATATTTCAAACATCACAGTCAGAAAACACTATAACTACTACAAGTCCCAAATATTTTAAGGGAAGAGAATAATCACATAGTATTTTATTGTTGTATTTGTCTTCTTCCAGTCCCAAATGTTGTGCACCAATGCTATATTCATTATTAAAAAAATAAATATTAAGGAAGGGAGAAGAAAACTCTACTTCAGGGGGTCTAAGAGTTGAAAGTTTCAAAATCCTCCACTACCCACACCCACCTATACTTACATTTTTTTTATCTATCTTAAGCAGGCCTGCACATAGTATCAGGAAATTATAGTTCACACATGGGCTAGAGAACAAAAATCACAACTAGAAACAAAGTTTCAAGACACCAAATACTTAAATCTGAAATGTATTACGATGACAATTAAAATACCTACACTCATAGACATGAGCTACATAAGCAAGCACTGTGAATAACACAAGACCAAACTTACAGACTTGTTCTTATTCATCTGTTTTGACTGTCTTTCCCAAATTCAGAGTTCCTCTCTCGATTCCCAAGCACCTATTTATGGCAAATGTCAAACCAAAGAAAATTTGTGTATATATTCTCAAAACTAAGGAATAGAACAACATTGATGAAATAAAAACCCATAAGTCATTAATAGGAAAATAAACGAAAACTTCAAAAATTCGTAAATCAACATAAATCTAAGACCCAGAAGTGAAATCGGAATAAAAAAAGACAAATGAAATTGCATAAATGGCATGAACCGTGTTCGTGTAAGTTGGAAGATTGGAGACTCGACCATCGTGGAATTGAAATCTCATACGGCAACCAGGGGATGCATCGCCGCGTTGGTGGCAAACCCAACGACGGCGCCGACGATGGCGGTCTCCCACTGCCACTACGACGCCGACGACGTTTGAATTGCACGGCAGATTGAAAAGCTTGATGCTTTGAAGTACAGCGGCAGCCACCAGGTTTGAAACAACCACTGTTACCTTGTGCTGTGACTTTTCTCTGCAGTCGCTTATATAACGCCGTCGTTTCAGGATTTCAAATCGAAACCGCTAGGTCTTGTACCAGCAACGAAAGGCTACCGAGGGAAGAGAGATATGTGACGATGAAGTTGGGTTACGGAGGAGTCTCTCTTGGAGATCTGGTCGAGGGCAAGAGTTGAGGGAGGGAGAGAGATGAGGAAGATTAGGAAGATTTGAGAGTTGAGAGGGCGCCATGAGAGTTCAGGAGTGAATGTTTTCGAGCTTGGGGGAAATCTAAAATTTTTAGGTCTAGAGCGAACTCTCGTATAAGGAGCTAGCGTGTTTTGACAAAGAAGAAAAAAGAGCTAGCGTGTTTTAAAAGACGACGTTTGTAATTTACAAGCGTCGTGTTTTAAAAATCGAAACTACACAAATTGATTTTAGTGGTGTATAAGATGGCATACTACGACAGTTTTGTAAAACCGTCGTTTTTTAAAATACAACGACGGTTTTAAACTTCACCATTGTCTATTTGGTGTCGTGGTTTTACAATTTTGTAGTAGCTAAAACCAATATCAAAATTTATGAACTGGAGAGTTACTATACTCCAGTACCGAGGATAGCAAAGCCGGCTATAGGAGAAGACCCCAAGCAACAACAGTAAGTAGTATGTTCCGCTTGTTTGTATCTACATTGTTAGTACAACCTTAACTTCCTAATTAATAAAATGAAGACTAGTGTGTTAATTAAACAATTCTACCTAGCATTCAAGGTGAATTGTTCCAATATATACTTTTGTATATATGCTTCCTCAATGCTTGTTATTTGTTTTTTTATGTAGAAGTATGTGACATGTACCAAATGTTGATTTGGGTATTTCACTCTTTGGGATGATATAGTGAAACGAGCATGGATGTTGTCTTTGACCTGCGGTTAAAAGTCGTCGATAAATGTTCGACACTGATATGAGTGATACGTCATTCTGAGGTCGATTCAGTCAATAAGCCCCTCTAACCATCCTCGGCCAAGATAGGGGTGCCCTACTAATGGTTTGTGAGTGATGGATCAATCCTGAGAAATACCAAAATAAATAGTGTACCTTTGAGTGGGATGGATGTGTCGGTTTTTTATCTCTGCTCTTCTTAATACGGAAAGAAAATTACAATGGAAGATATAAAATGAGAACTTTCATGGGTATACTATATCATAGGGCAACGAACTTTCAAAGTTTCAAACTCTTATGAATTAATTAATACATATAATGAAAATTTTCTTATTTATTTATTAATATTTTTATGATAACAGGTCACTACTTGTAGTAACCCTTCAACATGACGATTGAAACTAGGTCATGCCTTGTTAATAACATACTATTTAAAGAAAATTTGGAACTTCGCATAAGCATCACTTGAAAGCTTTGAGCATATCATCATCTATCTTTATTTTTGGCACGAAAAATGTCCAGCAAACTAGCTGAAAGCTTCGAGCATATCATCACCTAATTAAATACGTACAATTGAGGCAAACCAAATATATCTAATTAGTACTTTTTGATAACAAAGCTGGAAAAAGCAAGAGAAGCAAAATGCTCAAGAATTTGAATCTGTTATTGTTTAGAAAGGCTCCTTTTGTCTAGTAAACCACCCCACCTACGTCTTCTAATCTTCAATTGGCCTGCGCTCTACTCGTTAAACCAAGATGTAAGTGACCAAATGTGACAGTTCTATGGTCAACACTTAGTTTCATACCTGGCAAAAGCACATCCTTCGGATAATTGAAACTTTGCCACAATACCCTCTTCACCGTTGATCCGTTTTGATCGACTCAAGGTTGACTTCATGTAGGACAAAATTTCCAGAATCCAAGGGGGTAGCCACAACATTACTAGTGTTGTTGATATTGGTATAGGCTTGTGGAGCAGTGTAAAGCTGGATAGGGTTCCCAGTACCGTTGTGTGTAATTTTGAGGGTTGAATTCATTTCTTCCAAAGTAAGAACTCCCGTAAAAGGGTATGGAATAGGTTTGTCTCCGTTCGCAACCCATGCTAATTCATGTAATTTGGCTTGCTCCAGATAGCGGTAGCTGGAGTACTTGGAATTATTATGAGCAGTTAGGTAGAAACCCAAAGTGAACTTCCCAGTTGCAGAGTAATCTAGAGTTTCACCTCTGGTTTGAGTGTGTCCATGCCGCTTGCACCACGAGTTAAGGTGATACTGCAGCTAGCCATGAATGACTACCGCAACCACAACGTGTACTAGTTCTGATCCAAATAATGAATTTTTCTGCTGGTTGAAAACTTAAATTGGCTTGTGTTTGTGTTTACTGCAAATTATTCTGACCAGGGTACCTGTGTACGTAAGTCAGGTTTCTATTCAAAATGGAGCCTGTTGATATATACATATTCACATGAGATGTATTGCATCTGATAAGTTTAAACACACACACACACAAAAAAATCATGCAATCATTTAGTACTAACAAGTCTTTCCTTTTTTTTTTTTTTTTTTTTTTTGAAATATGATACGAAAAATTTTCTTCGCCACAAGCCATTTGTCAGAGATAGAGAATAAATACATAGATAAAAAGAGAGATGAAGAAGGGTGGTGGGAGGGATGAGAAAATGAATGAAACATGAAAACAAATATTTTCCTCTGTTCTTATTTTCCCAAATATTTCATCTATATCTCTAACAAATGGAAACTAAAAACAGAAACTATAAGGTCACGCAAGGTCCTCTAGTTTAAAATGTAGAACAAAAAAAAGATAACACCAAATAAAATCCAAAGGTATTATAAGAAATTTATTAATATTTTGTGTATATATATGCTCAGTTTTCTATTGTTTTAATTGATTATATGTGATTTCATGCAAATATATGAAGAAATGAAGACAAGTAATTGGATTACATCACGGGATTAGCATCGTCTGATAACAAACAATTGGCAAGATCGTGTTAGGCTTAATGAGAAACAAATTTCATGGAGGCGAAACTTCCATAGCTGCTGCTTTATTCTAGTTTCTCAGGTTATAGGCGACAAAACCAGGCAGCTATATCTAGCTCATATCACATATATAGTACTCTTGTTGCTCTTGGCATGGGGCGTTGACTCAGTTTGGGTCATGCATGGGGGTCTCCTCCGAGCCGGCTTGGCTTAATTTCCAAGTTATGTTGTTGTATAGAACAATAAAAGTTGACTTTGTAAAATATATATTATTTATATTTTATTATCCATTAATGCCAAAACATAGACGAACACGAAGACTTCAATGTTTTATCATGTTTATAAATTGTGATTTTGTTTAGCCCCACCCAAGCCTAACTTGAAAGTTTCAACCTTTCACATTAAATTTCCAAGTCTCCAACCCTTTTCTTCTCTCTGTTTTTTTCAGCCTTCTGTGATCAAGTGAGATATAGAGGTACCTATTTTTCTCAGCCGACTACTTACTTAGCGATGTGTGAATTAAACAAAGTACTCATTGTGAGTTGCAGTACTTTTTTTAAATGTGTTATACAAAAGTTTAGCTGGGAAAACAGAAACAAAAGTATATATGTTATACAAAGAGGAAGAGAGGAAAATTATATTCAAATCCCGTTTGATTCTGATTCACCACATGATTATCACGTGTAGAAATTTTGGTTTTTGTGGGGGAAAAAGAAACACTAAAAGCAAGTGGCACTAAAAGAGATAAAATGAGAACAACATAATTTGCTGCAATCCCGCCGAACTTTTGTCGGAAAGATCAAAATTCGCCAGGTATTTCCAGCAAAACTTTGTTGGAAAGGTCTATCCTGACGAAATTTCTTGGAAAATATAAAATTCGCCAAAGGTCTGTCCCTGCGACATTTGCAGGAAAGGTCGGTCGGTGTCACTTTGTCGGGAAAGATTAGATTCACTGCGAAAGGTTGTTCTGACAAATTTTGTTGGAAGAGATAAAATTCGCAGCGAAAGGTCTGTCCCAACGAAATTCTAATTGGTAAAGATCAAAATTCACCGCGAAGGGTCTATCTCTTTGCAGGAAAGAAACTTGAGGAATTAAGAGTGATCTGGTTTCAATGTGTCGCTTGCATCTTGATGTATCTACAAGCAAGAAAATTAAGTCTGGATTGCTGGCACACTAACCTTTAATGAGCACAGGGTACAAGTTACAACTTCAAATTAATAAGAAAGGTCTTCAAAAAAAATAAAAAAAAACTAAAGGTGAAGTGGCAGACAAAACTTTACAAAATTGTTGATATCATTTTCACCTTTCCCTTTAATAATTAAGGTTGTACTTGCACTGACCATACGGGAAAAAGTTGAACCCTTTCCCTTTAGATAACGTTTGCAAGCTAGTTTTGGGGTCTAAAACATGAAAATAATTAAGGGTATTTTTTTTTCCCATATTCCAATCTTTCCATATAATTTTGGGGGTCCAGTATTGACATATATAGGATCACTCGTCAAATCACTCAGCACACCCACAATACAAGTGTTCACCAAACTATCATTGTGGTTGTGCTGAGTGGTTAATTGAACAGTTTGGTAAGTTCCGGCTATAAATGATAAAAACTCAATTAAACGTCAAATATCAAATACCTAGTGAATCTATACGCAATATTACCAATTAAAAAACTATAATCCACAAGAAAACCTACTTTCACAGGGAATACAACATATACAAAAGCAAA